TAATATCCTACTTTTTTATTGAGTTAGCAGTTATTGTCAGGACCTCGACACAAACTGATGAACACTAATGCACGACCCAGAGACAAAGGCCGTTTCTCAATGTCGAGTAAACCTGCTGCAGAGCCACTATTTCAAGTACTACGTCATCGAGTGGCGCCGAAGGACTGTTTAAATGCATGTTAAATGCCCAGCATTCGGCGCCACTCGATGACGTAGTATACTTGAAATAGTGGCTCTGCAGCAGGTATACTCGACATTGAGAAACGGCCAAAGTCTTGAATATAAAAAAGGTATATTTATTTTCAACAGTGCAGGTAATCCCTCTTAACAGAGTAGGTGGTGGAAATAACAAAAGGCGCTCACAAGGAGGAAAAAACTAGCATAACAAAAAGAGGACTTAATAAAAACTTAAGCCAACAAAAAATAAACAAAATAACAAAACCTGACATGAGTGAAAGTGATCCTTTCTGGGTTGAAGCATGGCACGACCATTCGGGGAAACAAACAAGACGAACTGACACAGGACAGGGGAGAGACAGGACTATTTAAACATGAGGTGAGAGGGAACAGGTGGAAACAAACAAGACGAACTGACACAGGACAGGGGAGAGACAGGACTATTTAAACAAGAGGTGAGAGGGAACAGGTGGAAACAAACAAGACGAACTGACACAGGATAGGGGAGAGACAGGACTATTTAAACAAGAGGTGAGAGGGAACAGGTGGAAACAAACAAGACGAACTGACAGGGGAGAGACAGCACTATTTAAACATGAGGTGAGTGGGAACAGGTGGAAACAAACAAGACGAACTGACAGGGGAGAGACAGGACTATTTAAACATGAGGTGAGAGGGAACAGGTGGAAACAAACAAGACGAACTGACACAGGATAGGGGAGAGACAGGACTATTTAAACATGAGGTGAGAGGGAACAGGTGGAAACAAACAAGACGAACTGACACAGGACAGGGGAGAGACAGGACTATTTAAACATGAGGTGAGAGGGAACAGGTGGAAACAAACAAGATGAACTGACACAGGATAGGGGAGAGACAGGACTATTTAAACATGAGGTGAGAGGGAACAGGTGGAAACAAACAAGACAAACTGACACAGGACAGGGGAGAGACAGGACTATTTAAACATGAGGTGAGAGGGAACAGGTGGAAACAAACAAGATGAACTGACACAGGACAGGGGAGAGACAGGACTATTTAAGCATGAGGTGAGAGGGAACAGGTGGAAATAATCGGGGGCGGGGCAGACACTGATGATGGCGGGAAAACACACAGGGGGAGGAAGAAACAGGGCCTGAAATGAAAGACAAGAGGTAAGTACAAAATAAAACAGGAAATGACAGACAAAATACATAAACAAAACACATTTGACGAGACACAACAGTTATTTAGCCATTCAAAAGTGTTTTATTTGTCAGATAGTCTACATATGTTTATATTCACGGTCAACTCTTTCAGTTCTGTTTTATCTTCTATTTGAGATGTTTGTATTTTATAATTGTTTATTTTCTACTCTGTTTTATTTCTAATGATGTGCAATACTTTGTTTTACATGCTGCTGCAACAAAAACATGTCCCAATTTTGGATTAATAAAGTATATTTGATCTTATCTTAATTCTACAATAATACTAAAACACAGCATATTTTTCCTGTCTTATGAGTACTTTTACACTGTGATGATAAATCTGACATACTTCTACTCGAGTCATATTTAAATGCAAATTATAGTGGGGTATTAATTTACTCATTAATGCATCAATCTTTATAATCCAATAATATGATACATGCTACTCTGAAATGAGCCATTGTGCATAATGAGTACTTTACTTTAATTGTATTTAATTGCAAAACTTTGACTTGTAACAGAATATAAGTACAATACCTTATTGCTTCTTCTACCTCTGCCTGTAATATATAGATTTTTTTTTTTTATTGATTGGGATAAACCCCTTGAGATGCACCATCTCGTTTTCAAGGGGGTCCCGACAATAGCAACAACTTACAGACATACATAAACAAAAAGACAAAATGCAAAACATGACACACAAGACAAACCACATACAGTCTGTTAAGTGAAATTCAAGCAATGCATACAATCATTACAATTTGAGACAGTCAAGCAAATCAGTTTCATCAATATCAGTTTCATTAATAACAAGTACAGACCAGTTGAAAGTGAGATAACAATGCATGTTTAAATATGCACCCAAAAACAACACCCAATGATGCAAGAGATCTAATAGCAGAAGGTAAAGTATTCCAGTCTGTTGGGGCTTTGAACATGAACGCTCTTCTGCCAATCAATTTGTTTGCAGAGGGGACAGAGAAATACATCTGAACAGAATGTCTAACTTGATGATTTGGTGAGTAGGGTACAAAATACTGCTTTAAATAAGGGGGATAGTTAAGATAAATGCATTTAAATATCAGCTGAAGCCAATACTTGTGTCTTCTTACATTTAAAGAAGGCAATTTAAGTTGGTTATACATTGTGCAGTGATGTGTACGAAAAGGACAACCAAGAACAAATCTGCATAGTCTGTTGTAGGCTATGTTGTGTAATCACCACATTAACTATCATAATGCTTTTTGGCACGATGCGTTTGCCTTCTCGCCTTCTCGTCACTTTCTGCTTTCATTCCCGAAGCTCGCCCAATTAGTCAGCACGATCGAGTTATCTGGTAGTACTATATATCAAATAGTTTGACTCATCGGTTCCTCTTAATCAATACAGTCATTCTGTGGGATCTGAGAGACAGCAAAACATTACTGTACAAGGAAACAAAGATGAAACTCTGTGTCATGGATTCATCAGATCTGTCAGGTATTCCTTGGCAGTGATGGTGACTCTCCTGAAGGTAGTTCCCACAGCACAGAGTGGTTCCTCCTGTAGGTTTAACAGGTGAGAGGCTATTCTCTCACTGCAGTCAACACCTGTAACACTGACTCAGAGTTAATGAGTCACATTTTCTTTAAGTCTGAATCCTTTGACAAGCTTTCAAGGCATAACTCACAATTTAAGGGGCAGGTAAAATAAGATGTTCTTCTCCCTGCTCCTTTCCACCATGTGCTGTAAAAAAAAAAAACCAGTGTACATGTTTTGTTTTAAAAATAACTGCCATGTGTGGAATAAACAAATACATACATTGAAGAGGCTTAAATACCAGTATTCAGTGTTTTTTTTCTTATGTCTGTTTGGGAAAATATATAATACAAATCTAAAGGAAGAAAAAGTATTCATTATAATGCAAAACGTTCTCACATCAAGTACAACTATTGCTGCAGTTTAAAAGTACTCAATTACAAGTAAGAGTTATGAGTTTAAGTAAAAGTAGTGTAGAACTACCCTGTTGCAAGTAAAAGTCCTGCACTCAAACTTTATGTTTATGTTTATTAAGGATCCCCATTAGCTTTTGCTCTCGACAAAAGCTACTCTTCCTGGGGTCCGACACTTAAAACAATACAACAATAATACAACAATAATACAGAAACATTTAGGACATAAGTCCTGACATCATTAACAACATTAAAAACATCACCAATATCATCAACAACATGCGATCAAATTAAATTAGGGTTCACAGCTCACAAGGGTACATGGTCATTAGTCGATGGCCCTTCAATCTCTTCTTGAAAGAGGCTCTGGACTCTATTTCAGTAAGGTAGTTTGGCAATGAGTTCCATTCCTTTATAGCTCTATAAGACACAGAAGATGTGTCCTGGGTTTAGGTGCCAGTAGATGGCCTGATGTAGCTTGTCTAGTTTTATGGTCATGCTCGTTTCTTGTGTAAACTATTTGATCGTAAAAATACAGTGGATTTAAAAAAAAAAGTGATAACACGAGATTGCAGACGTTTCTCAACTGATAGGCTTCTATGCATAACTCCAATATGAGTGCGCTTCGAACAGTGGATAGCTAGTCTGGCAGCCTTGTTTTGAGCTATTTGTAATTTCTGTAAATGTGTTTTTGCTGCTGATGACCATATGAAAGTAAATGTACAAAAGTATTAGCATGAAAACAAATACCAAAAGTACTCATTGTGCAGATTGGCCCCTATTGGAATAATATATGATATCAATGGATTATAAATAATGGTCCATTCATGTGAACATAATTTGAATTTTGCAGCTTTTGAAGGTGATTTTTAAACAATTTTTCCTTTGTTTATTCATATATTTTTATTAGATAGATGATAAATGGATAAATACCTAATTTATCCCAAATTGGGAAATTATTTTTGTTACAGCATCAGTTTGTTCAGGCATTAAAATCTTAAAATCTTTAAAAAATGGTATGAAAATAATACAATTAAAAATACAATAAACAGCAGCAAGCATATACATATCTACATAGGAAAGTAGATGTACTACAAAGAATACAAACTAGATAAGTTAGACTGTTAACATTCCAATATATTACAGACACATATACATAATAGTATATCAATTACAGTTGTGTTAAATAGCTGTTGTGCAAAATGTTCATGGTTATGGAGAGGGAGACACTAAAACCTATATGGCGCTGACTAAAACATAAACTGAATTAATAGTATGAACCAACAAAGTTATTAATGTGGTCAAAAAATGTAATGGATTAAAAAAGTGTACCTCAAAAATGTATTAAAGTACAATACAGTATTGTAATGGTGTGTTTATGGGCGGGGTCACAGCCTTTAGTGGTCACTCATTGGTTGAAAGCGCCATCTAGTGTTTAAACCAGTCTATGGTTTAAACATACACCCATTGCCATTTCACAGATGTCTTCCCATCTAACGTTTTCTGACCAATAAAACACTTTTGATAGAGGAAATCCGCCGTGACGAGGTGATAAGTGGGGCTTTTTATTCGCTCTTCCTGGCTTCTGATTGGTTGGTTGTGGTTGACCGAGGGTGGAGGGGCTGAGTGTGCCAAGGTGTGCGTAAGGAAAGGAAATACCCCCAAACCAGGTGGCGCCCACACTCACTGCTCAGTACCGAGTCTGGAGCTGAATGGGATGTACAGGACTTTGGTCTCACTTTCAAAACACTTTCGAGGACATTTAAGACATGAGTGGTAAGAGATATTTAATATTTCACGATGTAATGCGCTGTTTTTACTCTTAGGTTCATATTAGCTGGGAATGTTTCTCTAGGAAATGATTGACTTGCAGCTGTTTCACGAGTCAGTCATTATATAACGTTAAATACTAGCAAGGCTGTGCTGTAGTCTGGTTTGTTTTCATTGTTAGGGTTAACAATTAATTAAACTACAACGAGACCAAGGGTAACAACTTGATTTTTAACTCGCGTTTCATTCAATGTATACGACTGGTGTGAATCTGTAAGACTAGTTTGTTAATGGTGGAGCAACTGGATTGTGTTTTTTCATTAGAAATAAAGTGTCCAGTGACATTACATTTACATTTCATTTTAGCTGACGCTTTTATCCAAAGCGACTTACAATTACCAATTACAGGGACATTCTCCCTGGAGTAACTAAGGGCTAAGTGCCTTGCTCAAGGGCACACTAGTGGTGGTGTTCCTGGCGGGATTTGAACTCACAACCTTCCGATCTTCACCCCACCTCACTATCCATAGACCACCACTATCTCGTGACAGTTTAAAAAGTGCACTACTTATAAATTATGGTAGCCAGACATTTGCCTTCGGGCTTCTTCTGTTGTTGTTGTTGTTGTTGTTGTTGTTGTTGTTGTTGCACCACATCTCAATGAATTTGGAACATTTATCGAAAAATAATGCTATTTTTCTCAAACCAGTTAACACAACAATCCAACCCCAACTTTTGTAAACCTATAAATAAACGAACTGCTTAAATGTACCTATAAATAAACCAGCTGGTTTAATATGTTGAATCATAATTCATACTAATTCTTAGTAATGTCAAATACTAGTGCTTTTTTGTATACATCATTCTATGTTCTGCATCACTTCTCAATTGTTTTGGCAAATGTTTCCAAAACAAAGCTATTTTTCTCAAATCAGTCAGGGGACACAAATCTAAACTCAATTCATGTCAAATAAAACATTACATTTTATATATATAAAAGCAAGACTTAAAACTTTTCAAATTGACAAACAATGTAAACATGGCATGCATGAGAGAAATATCTGATAACAAAAGTATTTTCTTTGTAATCTGTCTGAATAATATATTATCTTATCAGCAAATATTATGTTATTATATAATATTTATGCAAAGAGGATGTTAATTGTGCAGTGCAGATATGTTCAGCTTTTCCTGAACCTTAGTTTGAACTGTTTTTTTATCAATCATTTTCTGAGGAAAGATGATGCGAGCTCTAAAAGGAGAAGTTAAAATAAGTCATACTTTGCATTAACTCATCTCAACCTCATTTGAACGCAGTTGTTTTATTTAACTTGTTCTAACTCCACATGAAAAAAAAAAAGTATATGTTGGTGTTTTTTAGCTAAGATTCAGGACAGTATTCCCATTAGTTTTCTAAGGAGGAGGATCTCCTGAGAGCAGCAGAGGTGACTGCGATCCAGAGCATGCAGACGTGCCTCGACCTGCCTCAGATCACCTGATCAGCAGCACAGAGCGCAGACACTACACGAGCACTGGTGATACATAAATACAGGCTCATCTTATTAGTGACTCACATACTAATGTAATTTATGGACAAATGCCAATTGCAAGTAATCAGAGCGTGTTTGCATTTCTTTCTTTGGCAGATCAGCAGCCAGCGTATTACACAATAACAGATTGCAGTGAAATAAGCAACCCGTGTTTATTTCCATTATTTGTCTACAAGTTGGTTTAATTTAAAGATGATTGGTTTGGTTTACAAACATGTCTATTCCAGTTTCTTAAAGTCCAAGATGATGTCTTGTTTTGTCTCTTCGAAACCCCAAAATATTAACTTGAATCCGTCATCAGAACCAGAATACTTCATATATCCTGGGGGAAAGTGGGATTTGTGACAGTTATGAAATGTAATAAAAGATACAATAAAATAATATGATATATAAAACACAGAAAAATTGGAAACAGGCTGATAAAGATAAATTACTCCTAAAATGAATCGACTATTAAATACTAGATATTTTGTTTTCTTCTGATAATCGACCAATCACTGCTGCTCTAAAATTACACACATGTTGCATTTCACACTGCAGTGAGATGATGAGAAAGGAAACGGTGACCTCTCTGTGATTATAAATACAGAGCTTTGGGGGGGGGGGCTTCTGTTGTTATAGTGTTCATTATTCAGCGATTCCTCTCTCGATTTGTAAAATGTAAAAGCTTTCCCCCCCTTGCATCACTGTAGTTAATTAGTCAGTTTGAGTATATAGGTTTCATTTTCATTTAATCGTTTATTTGAATAAGGACAATGCACATTAATGAACACTTTAGACAAATAATGCTTCAAGTGTAAATATGCCGGATTTTAGCTTTGAGCTCATTTCCATCCGTAGTCCCTGACATACAACATATAAGAACATGACATTTGTAAACATAACAACAAATAAATACATGATATGCAAAAGAGCAAGAGCAGCACACACAAGTATTTACCACATGGCAGTACACTATAGCAGCAACAACATATTAAGTGCAAGAGATGATACAAGAGCTACATAAAGTGCAAGAGGAGTGCAGTTAGTGGTGATTGCACATCTGGTTGTTTCTCAACCATTCTTTGAGTTGACCTTTAAAACTATTGAGAGTGGTGTTAGGGAATCATTTGCTTAGGTATTCAACCTTCCACACAGTTCATCGTGTTCTCCTCTCATTGTCTCCTTTCCCATGGCATAGTTCTACGGCCTTGGGTATTGCTGCTATCTCTCTTAAGGAGGAGCAGCTTGGGCGCATTGTTGTTGCCAGTCTATGACAGAGCACAAGCCGCCATGAGGTAGTTTCCTGTTCAGGGACGAAGGTTCCCTGGCACACATTCTTTTCGATGGACGAGAGCTCTAGTTAGATTCAGGATCCATAATTGTTTCATCTCACTGATGAAGAATGTTGATTATTACACTCCGAACTAGTTAAAACCTCGAGCTGCAGAAGAGTTCTTCAGAATTGGTTTGGCAACCGCTGTGTCAACTCGTGACACACCACCTGTCTTGTCAATTCTCCGGCCGTAACTCCAAATAAACCGTCAGTGTTTGCCGTCAAAGCTCCAGCTCTCCTCGTGCCTCTCTGAGTCCTGACTCTCCATTGCTACAGAAGTTTCCCCCACAAGTGGGTCAATCCCGTATCTCAGTTGGGAGGCTATTCCAGAATGATCTGCCTTTAACGGAGAGGACATTTTGTCCAAAAGTGGTCCGTCTACAGTGGACTTCACAGTCTCCTCTGGTTTCTGACCTAGTGCAGCTTCCAGTGTGTTTTTTGTGGATGAATTCCCCTAAGGGGGGGGGGGGGGGCACTCCATGTAAAGATTTATAAATAAAACACATACTTTTAAAAGACTTAAAATCATCACAACTCAAGACATTGTGTTTTTCAAGGAAGGTACAGTGGTTGTTTCTAGCAGACTCCTGTAGTCTCAGTGTTATTCACTTTCCCTCATGTCTCCTCCACAGTGGGAAGTGAACGGGGTAAAGAAAACTTTGGTCTGCAGGCCCCGGTGTGTTTTTAGGTGTGTGTTATGAGTCACGCTAGTGTTTTCATTCCTGTGCTCTGACACACAACATGACCTCCTCCACTTTAGTTTATGACCCTCGTAACTGCAGACTCTTTGGGAATCAAACAGTGTCTGAACCCACCGCTGCTGTATCTCACTGTGTGTGAAATGTACTTAAACAAATACAAACACTTATTGGCTTTAAAGGACACCTATTATGCAAAATCCACTTTTCATGTCTCTTCTACATCAACATGTGTCCCCTCTTCTTCACGTCTCTTCTACATCAACATGTGTCCCCTCTTCTTCATGTCTCTTCTTCATCAACATGTGTCCCCTCTTCTTCATGTCTCTTCTACATCAACATGTGTCTCCTCTTCTTCATGTCTCTTCTTCATCAACATGTGTCCCCTCTTCTTCATGTCTCTTCTACATCAACATGTGTCCCCTCTTCTTCATGTCTCTTCTTCATCAACATGTGTCTCCTCTTCTTCATGTCTCTTCTACATCAACATGTGTCCCCTCTTCTTCATGTCTCTTCTACATCAACATGTGTCCCCTCTTCTTCATGTCTCTTCTACATCAACATGTGTCCCCTCTTCTCCATGTCTCTTCTACATCAACATGTGTCCCCTCTTCTTCATGTCTCTTCTACATCAACATGTGTCCCCTCTTCTTCATGTCTCTTCTACATCAACATGTGTCCCCTCTTCTTCATGTCTCTTCTACATCAACATGTGTCTCCTCTTCTCCATGTCTCTTCTACATCAACATGTGTCCCCTCTTCTTCATGTCTCTTCTACATCAACATGTGTCCCCTCTTCTTCATGTCTCTTCTACATCAACATGTGTCCCCTCTTCTTCATGTCTCTTCTTCATCAACATGTGTCCCCTCTTCTCCATGTCTCTTCTACATCAACATGTGTCCCCTCTTCTTCATGTCTCTTCTACATCAACATGTGTCCCCTCTTCTTCATGTCTCCTCTAGATCAACATGTGTCCCCTCTTCTTCATGTCTCTTCTACATCAACATGTGTCCCCTCTTCTTCATGTCTCTTCTTCATCAACATGTGTCCCCTCTTCTTCATGTCTCTTCTACATCAACATGTGTCCCCTCTTCTTCATGTCTCTTCTACATCAACATGTGTCCCCTCTTCTTCATGTCTCTTCTACATCAACATGTGTCCCCTCTTCTTCATGTCTCTTCTACATCAACATGTGTCCCCTCTTCTTCATGTCTCTTCTTCATCAACATGTGTCCCCTCTTCTTCATGTCTCTTCTACATCAACATGTGTCCCCTCTTCTTCATGTCTCTTCTACATCAACATGTGTCCCCTCTTCTTCATGTCTCTTCTACATCAACATGTGTCCCCTCTTCTTCATGTCTCTTCTACATCAACATGTGTCCCCTCTGTGGAAAGAGACTCTGAAAGTTTCAGGAACAAAGATTATCTCTCTTTTTGTCCT